ATACACAAGAATAATGATGTATAATACATTAAAATACACCAAGAAATAAAAGACTAAATCCAAACTGCTAATATTAGTTTAGTTTATTTATGATTTCCTAAACACTGAAAATTCCATCCATGTGATGATAATCTAAGGACTACTTTACCACCGTTTACATATGAGCTTCATTGGAGATGCTGATGCTGCAGGTATTCAGAGGAATAAGCCCTAAAAACAGCTGGAACCAACAAACTCAACTTTAGCTGCATTTAGTCAAAACCTTCACTGCATTAATTATTGGAGACTGTCACTAATCTGACCTGTTGCAGACTCTGTCTTCACAGAATTAAAGTGTTTTGATGGGCATTTCATTTTGTAATAGATGTGCAACGGTGGAGCAAAGTAAATGGGAAAGATGCTTTTGGACTAACTTTGGTTCTGAAATGCAGAAAAATCCTTCCCTAAATTGCTTCACACAACTTATCGCATTTATCATCTTGTTGAAAGAGAAATGTCAATAGATCCAACACAGTTTCAAAAATCCCTAAACACATTTCTTATGTACTTTTCTTAATAATTTCACTTCCATTACAAAGTGAAACACCAGTAAAACTTCACTGTGATAGAAACAGAGTCTGTAACTGGTCTGATTAATTAGATTCACCAATAATCACTGTAGTCCAAGCTTTGACAAACAGGAACTGAGGTTCAGTTTGTTGTGTCCAGCTGTTTAGGACTATTTCCTCTGAGTTGAATAAATACCCACAGCCCCAGGATGCAGCAGAATCTACAAGAGTTGCTGCATTTATGCATGTGGAACGACAGCATTAACTTCATTAATTACTTAGAACTTATCAATGATCCCCGACATGGAGATGGGATGGATCAGGAGCTATGGTGGATTTGTTTGAATGATGTAGTGAGGTACATAAAACGTGACTTGTGTCTAAATAACAGAACTACATCACTTCATACACCAATGAAGCAGCAGTGTTATGTATCAAATGTCTGAAAGGGGCTTCAGCTTCTCAGGTTGGAGTGCATCCAGTTAGTAAAGTAAACCTTCCTCCTCAGCTTGTTTCTCTTCCATCTCCCAGACGTGCAACATATTTCCTCACCGCTTTCTCCGACAAAAATAAATAAATACACAGCCTAGATAAATAAATAAATTAGTTACACTTTAGATAAAGGTGCAAGTGTTCTCCATAGGTGACACTGATGGCTTTCTATGTAAATTTTGATCCAAATGCTTGCCTGCAGTTACAAGGGACGTCAGGGATGTCTTTGTATGGAGAAGGCACGAATGGCTGGATGGCTAAAGCTCAGGGATGGTGTGGGAGTCTGATATACAATCTGATAGGCTGGTTGTAAACAGTCATGATGGTGATAAACAGTGATATAAGGGTGCTCTTTATGATATTGGCTATTCTCCACATTTTCGTTCTTTTTCTCTTTGGCATACAACCCAGCTGAACTTTTAGGTCCACCTTCGAATGGAGGCAATGCTGCTCCCTCTGTTGACTGCACTGTACACGTCTGATACAGGGAAAGAAAATGTGGATATATTTGTCAGAAGTTAAAACCTATTCAAACATCTTTTTTCTGAAAACAAGAGCGATGAGGCGTGTATGACTCGGAGGAGGAGATGATTGGATGTCAGCTGTGTGAGTTTCCCACCGATGAAGCAAACTGGCTTTTTCAGGTGAAGTGATCTTATGTGACTGAGACTGAACGAAGAGCTTACATTCCCAGTCCCAGCGCGGTGGCTCGAAATATCTGGTTAGGGTAAAGACGTGTTTCTCGCTGAGATATGTGTTTGTACCAAGAGGACCTGGTTGCTGACAAGATGGCAGACTATGGCGGCACCTCTCTACAGGCCAGTTCATGTTTTTTAAGTGTGTTCGAAAGGTTACGCATGACGCAAGTTCCCCAGATCAACACAGAACCCTTTGAGGATGTCCATGTACAGCTCAAAATCTGAGCACACTGCAAATGCGCTAGAATACAAATGATGCTTAAAACAAATACTTCTGAGGAGAGGCTGTATGAGCAGATTCTCCGTCAGCCAGAGCTTAATAATTCATCATTAGGAAATAGTAATCGAAGTACGAGAGTTGATCAAAAAGTTCCAAGACTGTCAAAAAAATACCAAAAACCTGAGTTAAACTTGGTGGCCATCCACGTTGAAGTTGTCTCCTTGTGCAGCTCTGCTCAGCTTCCAGTGCTGCTGCAACACTTGTAACCTGAAGTTCTGATATGCAAACGTGAAGCACCATCTGCAATGAGCACTGAAGCTTCTTAACTGTGTCAAACTGGAGACCCTTCAACTTGAATTTCATTTTGGGGAAGTTGCAGGGAGGCAAATCTGCTGAGTAGGTTGGGTAGAGAGGGACAATTTTTGTTGTTGGGGCCAAAAAAATCAGTCCATAACTATCAAACTCAGGTGTACATCACATTGAAGCAACCACTGTTTAGGTTGTTTTAATGTTCTCCCTCAGATACGTCATTACATTTCAGTAGAATCTGTTTTAAACGTCCAGTGCTGGCAGATACATTTCTGTTGTAAAACCATATAAATGTTGAAGAAAGCTGTCCTCCTGATGTGCCTGAGCTGCTCTTCTGTGAAGTCTGCTGTTTCTTCTCTTGGTGGTGGCTGCAAACTCATCTCTGGTCACCATGATGATCCTCCGCATGAAAGTTGTTAGATCGTCCTCCTGCTGACTGACGCAAAATGTGATGCTCTCTTCGAAAGTTTGAGCCAGTGGTCACAAAAAATTGGGTAACACATGTCTTGATGTTGACAGCATGATGTCTTGCAGCAACCAGACTCCTGACAGTTATTGCTTGCACATGTTGCACGCACGGGAACGGTCTCGCAAATTTTTGATCAACCCTCGTACCTACATGCTTTCCGTCAACAGAGCGCAAACACAGTATGATGCTGTAAATTCTCCAGAAATCCTGTGTTGTGTCTGCTCGCCTGTGCTTGACACACCTCAGGAATAATCACTGACAGCGCTACAGTTCAGTTAACTCCGTGATGCAGAAACCATGAATTGGCAAATATTGATTTGATCACCTCGTAAAGTCTACGCAGATGTCTGAAATTTGTGTGCTGCAAGCCCAATGGTGTTCTGCAGTCGTGTGCATGCACAGAATACATATGTACGAAGTGCTGTGCATGTATGGAAAAAGGTTCTGCAAGTTAGACTCCCGCAGGCTAGAAAGTCGTATAACAACAGTAATTAGGCGTCCATGGAGTCCCCAGCTGTCTGTCTGCGTCTGCAAGGGACTAAAATCAAAACTCTAAGTAATGATCTCAGCAGTTGAAGTTGGTCTTCTTTATGCTGATTTTTTTTTGTTTGTTTTACCTGTCAAGCAGCACACAGATTTTTAAGAAATATATACAGTTTATACATTATGAATATACTTTAAAAGTCAATAGACTCAGCTTAAAACTTATTAAAGGCAATATTATTAACTATGTGTGCAGATAGGACATATTTTAAAAATGGTAAAATGTTAAAATTTAGTTCACAAATTCCTTTAAGTGTTTTGTGTAAAATTTAAATCAAAATTATTAATGAAACAATTTATCAACCTTCTGGAAAAGCGGTTTCTAGGCGTTTTTTTCTCACTGTTTGGCTCATTTTTTAGTGCAACATGAAGTCCTGCACCTCAATGGAAACAACACAATCATGACTAGAAGTAGAGAGAACTCAGAATTTTCTTTTGTGCAGTACGGCACAGTTATAATGCCATAAGTCATAAAATAAGAAAGAATGAATGCTGAATTTTGTCGATTTATTTAAAATTGAAAAATTGAAAAACCTGGAATCATCCCAATTCTCTTCTATTAGCCGTTGTTGTTCTGTTTCAATAGAAGTGCAGGACTATGTATTGCAGTGAAAAATGAGCCCACAGTGAGTAAAAATGCGACAGTAGCTTTAAAATGCAGAAAAGCTGCTTGACTTCTGAGGGTTTAATCTGTATCTTGGAGAAGATGCACAATGCAGGAACTATTCGAAGAAGACCAACTTCCACTGTTTTCATGTCAACTGTGAAGGTTCGCCATCTTGTCTGCAACCAGGTGCCTCTACCTGCCCTTTGAAGAGGAGAAGACATCCGTACTGGGATCAAAAAGCAACATTGTGTGTTCAGTTAGCTGTAAAGAGCTAAATTTGAACCGGATACAAAGATGTGCTCTGGTCCTGTGTGTCCTGGTAGCTGCAGGATCGACTCTCGTGCTACTGAACTGTTGATACTGTAAGACAATTTGTGCTGCTGTGGTTGGTCGGTATAGAAAAGCATTGTTGGGCTGATGTGCGGACAGCTGGCGTCGTGTCTCAGGCTCCCAGGTGTGTTTTCCTGCCTGTGTGAAGTGAACCAGCTGTCTGCTTCCCTGCTCCGACCCGACCTCTTCCGCTCTCTGCTACTCTGTCTCTCATAATGCCGGCTCCTCTTCGTCGATGAAGCTGATGTGCTCCGTGGATGACCTCCCCTCCTCCACCTGCCTCCCCCACTCCTGCATCTCCAGCTCCTGGGGGCGAGCGGCATCTCTCCCCTCCCCCCTGTGGTGCTGCTGGGAGTTACACCAAGTCTGGGTATCTTTTCTCGCAAAGTCCAGACACAGTGGCAGGGAGACGGTGGAGGGGTGGACGGAGCTGGAGGTGGACACGACGGGGACGGACGGGGAAGGTCTCCGCCGATGAGCTCCAGGGGAGGACGTGAGGGACGGGGGAGCCGAGCAGTGGGAGGGCGGGGGACGAGGGGCGTCCTGGGAGGGAGGCGGGGGCAGCAGGCCTCTGCTGGCACAGCTGCCGGGCCTGGACAGGTGAGGACCCTGGCAGGGGGAGAGGGACGGCGAGGAGGTGAGGGACAGGGAGAAGGAGAGGGAAGGCGATGGGGTGTGGGAGGCCAGGGGAGGCTGGTCCTGCAGCGAGGGAACAAATATCCCGTTACTGGAGGAGGCGTGGAGGCTTCGGGGGGCCGGGGACCCCTCTGGAAGTCCTTCCTCAGGTGAGGGAAGGCTGGGCCTCGTGATGCTGCCCCCTGAGGGGTTGGACAGGGGCTGCACCGACGCTGGAGGAGATGAATTAGGCCTTTGTGGTGAATGAGGAGTCGGGAGAAGGCATCCTGGCAAATCCACTCCCTCGATGTCTCCGCTGTCCAACAGGGAGCGAGTGTCGGGTCTCTGCAGGAAGCAGGGCGTGGTGGTGGGCGGCGGCACCAGGCAGCTCGATGACAACTGGCTGGCGCTGCTGGGAGGCGGGGTCAGGTTGGGCATCATGGTCATCAGGACGGGCTGCGGTGCTGGTTGGAGGAGGGGCTTCAGCAGGCGTGTCATTTCCTGCAGCTCCTGACTGAGTGTGGAGACTTGTTTAGAGAGACTGTTCATCTGTATGGAGGAGAGAGACACGTTAACACCTAATTAGACTCTGCTGTGTCCTCGTATTAAACATTTTTATTGTAAAAGTATTTAAAGAGTTTGTACCTCTGCTAAAGCTGAACAAACCCTCTAAATCTGCTGTTTTAACAGTTATCACTTGTAAAATGTATCAAAAAGTGGGTCAGATGGGTCTGAATTCCAAAAAGCAGGGAGTCTTAAATAATAACAGACATTATCAGAGCTAGAAATTGCAGACAGAAAAACAATCAGGATTGTTAACATTTCAACAATCTTTCAACTACTCATCTGTGCTGCGTGATTCCATCAGAAAAATAACCACCTATAAGCTACATCACATATTAAAATCAGGATATTTCATCACAATCTCTTTATTCTATGTTTCATTAGAAAAAATAAGCTGCTTGTTCTAAGCAGACCTTGTAAAAAAAATCTAAAAATTCTGCACATAGCCAGTATTGATTCAACTGTGAGCAACAGTCAGGTTAGAAAAAAATCAGTTTTACGCTGAACTGCAGGCAAAATTGACACAGAACAGAGAGGAAACAAGTATGAAAACAAATTCAAAAGAGTTGAATATCATCTGAGGCTTCGATAACATCTTGAAAACATTTTGGAATGTTAACAGTAAGAACATCCTCCCTTTTTTTAGCATTGTTGAAAGGTCTCATAGAAGAATGTTCTATGATGTGTTCCCTCAACAAACAGCAAATTGTTCTCCCTTTAATATATCACATTACTGGAATGTTATAAAAACCCTTCTGTCACCTGAGGCCTTGATAACATCTGGAAAACTTTCTTGAATGTTGGTTTGAGAACATCTTTTTTTTGTTATCACGGAACATTGTGAGAATGTTTCATAGAAGAACGTTTTACAATGTGTTCTCTCAACAACATCTCCAGAACACTGCAGGCAGAATGTTCCACCTTGCTAAAGTATCTCATTATGGGAACGTTTTACAGACGATATCTGAGGCCTCTATAACATCCTCTGAATGTTAAGACCGTTCTAGGAGCTAAAAGAAAACTCCTTGCTGAAAATATTCGTAGCACTTTGTCCGAACGTATCTAGAACGAAATCAGATCCTTCTGGCAGATGTTAGCACTCACCTCCTCAGTCAGTTTGGAGACACTCTGCTTGATCTCTGTGTNGACTAGACGGTCACATGGTGGTAGCTTCGTCCTCCCTTCTGTTGTTAGTATCTGTGTCGTCTTTGGCTTTTATTGGGAAACATGCCAACAGGACTTGTTAGTAAAATGTTAGACACAGTGCAGTAACAGGAGTACAGAATTATAAACAGTGTTGGAATACAAATGTGTACAAATATAGAGGCGCATCTTATTTACTTCCATAAAATAGAAATTTATTGTACTCCCATACAATTACAAATTAAGACACAAATGAAACGGGTATAGCTTTACCAGAGAGACGAAGCTATTTAAGTTTGTTTACAGGTGAGTCATTCAGTCCTAATGACACATATTTACTGTGACAGGATGTCTATCTCCATTACAGAACGTCCTCCTGTCAATCCTGGAACAACAAAATCTTCCTGAACAAGTTAAACCAGAGAAGAGCACATTTGGCTTTCTCTGTGATATTGATTCCATCTAAATGGCCTTGGAGCTGTTTGTTCCATCAGTATAAGGTAAGCTGTCATTAGTGTTTAAGTAGAAGTCAAATGGACTTCAAGCTATTTAATCTCACCCACAACTCAAGGTGTGAAGTTTGTTGAAACTGTCTGAACAGGTACGTCAGGCTGTTCTATTTTAACATGGTAATAGTAGATGATTTCCTCCACTTCTCTTCAGACACAGTTTGAGAGGAGTGAAATGATGAGTGTAGCATCTCAATTATCTACAGTCAATGTTAAGCTGCACATCCTCAAAGTTCTAGTTAGAATCCCCTTTTCACAATTTCAAAGTTTCTTAAGAACCGATTTTGTGGCACAACTGTTCTGCATCTTACAGGTTTTTTTTTATACATCTTCCATTAATATTAAAACATTCTCTTAAAATATTTTCAATGAATTTATGATCAAAATATCTTTAAAAAGTGAGCGTTTCAACTGTGAAGCTACAGTGAAAATTATTGGTGGCAGTCAGATTTTTATGCACTACCAAACTTCTGGATATGACAGAACTATAGTAATATGACACAATAGTGCAAATAGTAGAAGTATTGATTTCTGAAAATGGAAGGTTTTTTGTTGTTAATTACTGGATTACGCCAAAGTACTCAGCAACAACTGCTTTGTTGAAAATGATCCTCAGGTTTTTC